GGGGGGGCAGGGGGAGCCAGGGGGGGGGCTGATAGGGTGTCCGGGGGAGGTTCGCGTGCTGCCCACAGTGTCGTACTTACCGCCTCCCTGCCTTCGCTTCCCCCGTTTTGTAACAACCCGCATACGGATTTACATACGGATGGACAGTGCTGCGCCGCCGGTTCCCGCGTGTTCGTACACGAGGCGGTGTACGACGCTTTTGTCACCAAGTCTGCGGAAGCGGCGGCCAAGCGGTGAGTGGTGTGTGGGGAGTGGGTGGTGGCGTGAACGGTTGTGGGGGTTAGCGTGGCATCGTCCAGCTGTGTGTGGTTGAGAGGGTTCCGGAGTAGTACGGCATTTTGTATCTCCTCGCCCCAACCTTACCGTGCACCTATCTGTGCTGGGCGCCGGGCGGCCTAGTGATGCTGCCAACCCCCCCCCCGGGACTACATCATCTGGGCTTTGCGCAATTTTATGGCGACGATCGTGTGTTTTTGTGTGTATGTTGTCTCCACCCTTATCCCCTCCTCTCTTTCCCCATCCGTGCGCCACGAGTGCATTCATCCCACCTCTTTACACGAGGACTCGCTCGTGTTTACCTCCCCCCCTGGTCCCCCCCCTCCCCCCCTCCCTCCCCCCCACTTCAGGAAGGTGGGCGACCCGTTCGGTAACGTCGACCAGGGGCCGCAGGTTGATAGCGAGCAGTTCGCCAAAGTGATGTCGTACATTGACAGGTGGGCAGGGCAACAGATCAGATCAGATCCCTCTCCGGAAGTACCACTGGGGGGTGGGGGGAATTGCCACGTGCGTGTATTTACTACATATTCTGGACTTGGATTTCAATTTCATTTTGGAGTAAGGGGGGGGGCCTCCGGGCAGTAGGGCAGCAGGGCAGTAGGGCTGACACAGCCAGCGGGTCAGTACTCACCAGCTCAGCTCAGCTTGAGCGAACCAAACCTTAACAGGATGACGAAGTCAAGTATTGTGGTAAACAGGGCTGCGTGTTGTACGCACGTAGATGTGTTTGTGTGCGTGTGTATGTGTATGTGCTGGTACCGGGATTATGAGGCATCCTGCCTCTGTCTTGTGCTCTCTCTTCCAGTGCGGGCGCCGTACGATGCCGTACACTCCACTCAAGAGCCGTGGAAGGAAGACCGCAGCGGTGTATGGTGGTGGTGGTGGTGGTGTAACGATGTGTGTTATCTCCCGATGCCGCCCCGCTCACCAGCAAAACATGCGTGTTCATCAGCAGCGAATTAGCAGCCGAACAGCCAGAGTTTTCTTTGTTCCTTCCGCCGGCAGGCAGGCAGCCGGCATGAGAATAGTTTTTCCATCTTACGCCTACTGGTCCCCTTTCTTCCAACTCTCGTCAGCAGCTTAGGGTATTTTTGTTCTCCGTCGCCGCCTTCACCACGGGTACCTTAGTTAGGATACCACGGCCGGTTTTCGAGAGCTCTCTTTCTTTCCGCATTCTATTCGTAGTCTTGGCGGCCAGGTAGGTAGGTAGGTAGGTAGTCTTCCGCTGTCGTCATCACACTACATCATCGCACGGAGGGCTTCTTCACAACCGCCGATTGGTTGTTAGTTATGCCTTCCTTACTTCTGGCGTATCCTAGTCTATATCCTCCTTGGCAGCAGCTTCTCTCGTTCACGTGGTTCGTGGTCTTCCCCCTTCCCCCTTCCCCCCCCCTCAGCGGTAAGCGTGACGGCGCCAAGCTGTTGGTGGGCGGCAAGCGGGCGGGCTCACGGGGCTACTACATAGAGCCCACTGTGTTTGCCGACGTGGGCGACCACATGCGCATTGCCCGGGAGGAGATATTCGGGCCGGTGCAGAGCATCATGAAGTGGAAGACGCTGGACGAGGTGGGGGGGGGGGGGGAAATGGAGTGAGAGCGTGTGGGGGCCGGGGGAAAGGGGAGTTGGTTACCAACTGGGGGTTGGTTCAGTTGGCGGGCGGGGAGAGCCGGGGGACCTGACCACACCGCGTGTCAGGAACCTCCCTCCTCCCCTCTCGCCCCCCGCCCCCCGCCCCCCGCCCCCTGGGAGGTTAGTGGAACCTAGGTTAGGGTGGGGGTGGGGGTGGGTGGGGTTGCGGAGATGGCGTGTCGGCGTGGTGTGGGTTTCTACTGTTTCATCCCCACACACGCACACCCCCACCCACACCCCTACCCACACACCCACACCCCTACCCACACACCCACATCCCCGGCCGTCCCCTAGACGTGAATCCGCTCTCAACTTGTGCCCCCCCCTCCCCCCCCCCCTCAGGTGATTGCCCGCGCCAACGACACCAACTACGGTCTGGCTGCCGGGGTGTTCTCCACCAACATTAATGCGGTGAACACCCTCACCCGGGCCCTACGGAGCGGCACTGTCTGGGTGAACTGCTACAACCTGGTGTGTGTGTGTGTGTGAGAGAGGGGGAAAAGGGGGGAAGGGGAGAGGGGGAAGGGTGTGTGTGTGTGGATGGGTGTCTGGGGAATTGGGATAAAGGGATAGGAATGGGAAGGGGGTGTGCATGCGAGGAGGGGAGACGCCCACCTCACCACTGTGGGGGCCGGGTTTGGAGCAATCTTTTGTGGGGTGTGAGGTGGTGGTGGTGGTGGTGGTGGTGGTGGTGGTGGTGGTCAGGCTCGGGTCGATTGGGGGTAGTGGGTTAGTGAGGGGGGCGTTGGGAGGGGAAGGGGGTGGGAGGGGAAGGGGGGGGGAAGGACGCCTTGGTGTCATCTACCCCCTGTCGTACTGCCCTTCGAGCACATGTGGGTGATGCGTGTCGTTCGCTTTGCCTCTCTCCCTCTTGCGCGTCGCAGTACGACGGCGCCGTACCGTTCGGCGGTTACAAGGAGTCTGGTATTGGTCGCGAGAAGGGCGAGTACGCTCTGTCCAACTACACTCAGGTACGGAGCTCTAACACGACCCTACCCTACCCCCCAACAACCCCTACCCTACCCGCCAACAACCCACCTCTACCCAAACCCACACCACCCCCGACAGGTCAAGGCGGTGTACATGCCGCTGGAGAAGCCTGCATGGCGCTGAAAGGGAGGTTAGGAGCTGGGAGGTCAACTGCCAGCTGTCAACGGTGCAACAACCGACCCATGGGCCGTTGAGGTGCATGCAGCGCCTTTCCCCCCCGTGTTGCCGCCCACATGCAGAGAGGGGAGCGGGCCCCGGCAGTGCACGGGAGTGCACACCCAGCTATGACTGACGGCTGGTCAGCCCCTGTTCCTGTCCCCCCAAGCTTATGACTTCCTTCCTACCGCTTAATGGGCTTTCCTAAGAGCTAGGATACCTTTAGCTTTAGGAAGCAAGTAATTGTACGATGGTTGTGTACGACGACCGTGTACTGCCTTTACATGCGCGATGTTCTGTCACGTTAGTGTGTGTTGAGGTGTCACCTCGTGCTGTGTGTGGGGGGGGGCCCAGCTCGTCGCGCCTCTCATTTGCCGCTGTGGGTTGTGCGTTAGTGGTGTTGATGCTTCGTCAGTGGATCTATTACTGCACGACGCGGAAGGTGCTACCATTGCTCCTTTAAGGGTGTCGAAATATTATCGACATAATAGTTGTTGGTGGTGGCGCGGTTACAGAGCGCTTGAAATTTTGGCGACGGGTGAAGCAGCACAGCTGGCATTGGGTGCTGGGAGCTCGGAAAGAAGTTGAAGTTCGTTGCCGGCGTAAGCGGCTGTGTAGTGGCGGGAGAGTAATAACGGGATTGCTGTAGCAAAGTCGGGGACCGATTTTCGTTTTGACAAAACCCGAATTTTCAGACATTGCCCCCGTTCCTCCCTTTTAATGCATCCCCCCACACCCCGCTCGCCATCTTTGGATCCTTTGCGGCGGCATGCGCTGCTGTGACCCGGGGGGGGGAGGGGGGGGCTTGGGGCTTGGGGCGGGAATCCAACGTTGTCGCTGCCCCGCCTGCGCGTGTGTGTTTCGGGGGAGTTAGGTCTGCGCTATGGAGACCTATGTGCATCTTCGCCTCGTTTCCGTGTTGGAAGTGTTGGGCTAAAGAATGAATGACACACATGCCGTACATAATTGCGGGTGTATGTTGCCGTAGTGTTGTTCGCGTATCATCTTTCTGCGCATCCATTCATTTAGCTTCTAGGGTTGCGGCGAGAGGAGGTGTCGTACGACAGTATGGTTGTCTTTACGTGCGCACAATGCTCAAGTATGGTTCTATTCCAGACAAGGTATCCTCGGTACGATCATTTTACAACATTACCAACCCTCAACTTCTGGTCAAAATTGTACATCACGAATCAATTCGGAATTGGCAGTAGAGCAGTATACCTTACTTACCTTCCCGTACTAAAGGTTTATTACTTCCTTACAATTTTAAATATTGCTCACACAACACTCTCACTTCAATAACAACTAACAGCAGATAGATGCAAAGGGCCTGCAGCTCCACTTCTTATTCCCCCTTCCATACCGTCAGCAACAGTACCTACTACTCGTTGCAGTAGCGTCCATAGCACATACCCCACCAACCAACCATTGTAGCATCACCCACCATGGGTGGGGGACAACACCTGCCCCGAGCAAAAAGAGACACACACACACATGCACATACGCACGCACACACAGCTCTATCTTCATCACCAGGATGGTCGACTCCGCCGCCCAACCTGCAGCAACCCATCCAAGCAGCAAAACACAACCCACCCGACCCTGGCCCCCACAGGCCCCTCCTCCTCCTCCTCCCCCTCCCCGTCCTCTTCCCCCCTTTCTTCCCTAGGCGAACAGCAGCTCAGCGGAAGCGAATTTGGATCCGCAGTGTCTGGGCAGAGGCGACACGATGAGGCTGTTGGGCGCCCTGCGGCCCCGCAGTATCACCACCGCCCGCCGTACACCTCGGGGGCACCGAGGGAGCTCGTACTCGAAGCGGCGCCAGCAGTCGGACGTGCAGGTCACACAGTCCTGGGGGGCCGGGGGGAAGGGGGGGAAGGGGGGAGGGGGGGGAAGGGGGGGGGAGGAGAGGAAGGGGGAGAGGAAGGGGGGAGGGGGAGGGGGAGGAGAGGAGGGCGATGTCAGTCATGGGTCGGTGGGGGGGAGGGGGGAGGCCACTGTTGCAGAACACTTAAGGACCGGAGCGAGTCGTTGTCCGTTAGTCGATGCGTTTAAGGGTAGTTAGTAGGTTATAGTTGGTGTGGGATACCGCTGAATGAATGTGCTACCTCTTCCCTTGTTCAACCGTCCGTTCGTCCATTCGTACCGGGGAGGTTCCCCGGGCCCTCCCCCCCTTCCTTGGCCCCCACCCCCACCCCCCCATACACACACCGCGAAGTAGTGGTGTCGCGTTGGGCGCATGAGGAAGGACTGCATGGAGGGGATACACTCGTCCGCGAAGCCCCAAAGGGGGCTCTGCGAGTGTACGGACCGCTGACCATCGTGTGCCGTACTGTAACCGTATCCGTTGGCGTTACCGTTGCCCTCGTCCAGCAGCAGTCCGACACTGTACTGCCCCACACAGTCCCATCTGGGGGTGTCGGGGCGTGTAAAGGAGTGTACGGTAAGGGGTGTACGGCAAGGGGTCATGTGTTTATGCGGGTGCGCTGTTGAAATGGTGGGCGAGGTGGGAGCATATTCCCCCCCAGAGCAAGAGAAGCCTGCAGGGGTCTGGGTCGGCACGAACCTCTCCCGGGAGCTAGTGCTCCGGGGGGGGGGGAGGGCGGAGAGGGGGAGCTCCGAAGGCAGTGAGATCGAGACAGCTTTGGGGGCCCGGGCTCGGGTTACCCTCCGTGTGGCTATGTGTCTGTGTGTATATATGTGTGTTTTGCTCGTTCTGTATGCCCCCTTCCGCCATTGTGCGTGCGGGGCGGTGAGGTGCCACGGAACATCCCCCCCTCACCCTCACCGCCCCCTCACCGCCCCCTCACCGCCCTATCTTGCCGCAACGGGCCTCCCCCCCGGCCCCCGACCCGACCTACCGGCTGCCCACATACACACTGAGTCTCAAGCTCAGCTCCGCATCTAGCAGGTGCGCGGCCTGGGCCGCTGTGAGGCCGCGCCGCTGGAGCTCCCAACCCAAATCCACCACCTGGCCAGGTTTGGGGGTGAGGGGAAGGGGGTTTTGAGGGAAGGGAAGGCGACAGGAGGGTGAGGGGAGGTGTGGGGGACTCAAGCTGTGCACAGCCCATAGAGGATATCCCGGCTTCATAGGAGACCGCCACCAGCGCTTTCTTACGTGCCCCTGCCTACCCCCTTCCTACCCCCTTCCTATCCCCTTCCTACCTACCTACCTACCTACCTACCTCTATATGGAACTGAGATCAGCAGCATGCCAAATCACACTGGGGATGTGGAGCAGCTCCAGTGATATGGAGCTGCTCCACATCCCGACCACTCCCTGCCCGAACACTTCCGGCCCCAAGGGCAAGGCACACAAACACATACACACACGCACACACACACACACCTGCACCACCTCGCACCAGTCGTTGGGGGTTGCCAAGCATCCGGGTTGATGCTCATCCCGGCCCCGTACGGCATTGCCCCAAATCCCAAAGCCACCGCTGCCGTTGCCGAAAAAACCCAGAAGGTGCTGCGCGTGCTGAGCAGCGGACAGACGGGGGACTGTGCCAGGGTACGGCAACGGCGGCGGCGGATCTGCCGTAGCCGCACTGCCGTACGGCCGCATGCCCGCTGGCGGCGCCTCCCAGGCAATTCCGTCCCCCAGGGCGGTCGTCGTCACCTGGCCAAGATGCGGTAGCATTGGATGGTACGGATCGTACGATTTGGACGTTTAAAAGTTTTGTACGATCAGCATTGCAGCAGTACAGCGTGAGCCGCATCAGCACCCCATCAAGCGGAGAGTGCTCGCCGCCCCCGGGGCAGGGCCCCCCCCCCCGGGGACATCTGCCGCAGCACTCTTTCTTTCCTTGGCAGCAGCTTCACTCGCTCGTGGCTCGTCTCCCCCCCCCCCCCAAAAAAAAAAA